GGGTCCTGGGATGGAACCCTACATCCCCTGCATCACCACCCCCTACCTCCCACCTCCCACCCCCCATCCCCCCACCTCACCCCACCCCTCCCCGAATCTGGATCTCTGCTCAGCAGGGGGTCTGCTTTCCCCCTCCCTCTGCCTACTTGTGATCTCTCTCTCTGTCAAATAAATAAAAATAAATAAACAAACTTAAAAAAAAAAAAAGAAATGTGGCAGGAGGGAAAATTGATACTACCTCTCAGAGCAATTTTACAATGTGTATCAAGAACCTTAAAAACAGGGCGCCTGGATGGCTCAGTCATTAAGCGTCTGCCTTTGGCTCAGGTCATGATCCCAGCATCCTGGGATGGAGGCCTGCATCCGGCTCTCTGCTCAGCAGAGTCTTCTTGTCCCTCTGCCCCTCCTGCTCATGCTTTCTCTCAAGTAAATAAACTCTTAAAAAAAAAAAAAAATACGGGGCACCTGGGTGGCTCAGTGGGTTAAGCATCTTCCTTCGGCTGATAAGGGTCATAATCTCAGGGTCCTGGGATCAAGCCCTGTGTCAGACTCTCTGTTCAGCAGGAGTCTACTTCTCCCTCTCACTCTCCTTCTATGATCTCCCTCTCTCTCTCAAATAAATTAAATGTTTAAAAGAATACATTATACCCTCTGATCTAGAAATGTCACTTTCAAGAATTTAGCATAATCATGGGTCTTTGCAGAAAATTAACTACAGGGATCTTCATCACAGTATTTCTAATACAGAATAATAGGAAAAAATAAAAAATGTGTCCCAAGTGGACTGGTTAAATTATTGGATAGCCTTATGATGAAATACAGCCATTAAAAATTATAGGTAGGGGCGCCTGGGTGGTGCTGTCAGTTGAGTGTCAGACTCTTGGTCTCACCTCAGGTCATGATCTCGGGTTGTGAAATGGAGCCCTGAGTGGAGCTCTGCACTCAGTGGGGAGTCTGAGATTCTCTCCGTCTCTCTCTCCCTCTACCCCTCCCCAGCCTCACGCATGTGTGCACATGCGTGCGCATGCACACACTCAAATAAATCTTTAAGAAATAATAATAATAATAATTATTATTATTATTATTATTATGGCAAGGTAGCCCAGCCCCTCCAAGTTTCTGACTCAAGTCTGAGTGGGCCTGAGGTGTGCTGGTCACATTTTAAGAAGCACGAGCCTTGTGCCTAGTCCAATGCATGGCATAAAGCCAGCACTGCGACAATGTGAGATCATCTCCCAACAACTGAGCAGGGCAGAGGCTGTAGGGGCTGCAGGCAAGCCTGGGCAGAAAGCAAGAGAAGCAGGGGCCTGGCTCTGCTGATGTATGAATGATTTGGGGCATACATACCCTCCCGCACTGACCTCTCTCCCTTTCCTCTCACTAATAGGAGGAGGCTGAACCAGGTGGCCCCTAGTTTCTGCTTGGAAGGTTTTTGATTTGGAGGCGAGAACATGAAAGAGTGCAGTTAACACTTAAAAAGAGGCAGAGAGGAAATTAGAGGTGCTTTCCCTGGCCCAATAATCCCCAGTCTGACTCAAGGTGAAGGCTGTGCTAGCTTCAGGACAAATCTGAGAATGGGCCCCCCCGTTTGGCCCCAGGGAAGTTTCTAGGAGATATCTTTCCCCCACTATCCAGGGCTGGGACTATTCCCAGCCTGGGGGGTGGGAGGGCAACATGGGGATGGAACCAAGTCACCCATTCAGCTCACCAGCTGAAAATCAGGAGCAAAATGAGACCCCCTTGAAATACAGAGCAGGCAACATCTCATGGGCTAAAGATAAGGAACTTTGCACTCACTAGGGCCTGGATTAAAATCATGGCCCATCACTTTCTGACTGTTCATGACCTGGGTGAGCACTTCTGTCTACAGGGAAGAGACTATTTTGGGCTCGCCTAACTAGTTGACATACTTATGATTAAGTAAATCAGTAAGGGAAAGGTTATCTTATAACAAGAAGTTACATATTAATAAAACAAGATTTTTGAGGATTTACTCTGTGCCAGGTACTATCCTAATCACCTTACCTGAATTATGTCACTTAACTCTAACCACCTTGCGAGGTAGGTGCTATTATTAGCCACATTTTATGGGGGGAGGAAACTGAGGCATAGGTAGGTGAAATGAAATAACACATGGGCCATAGAGCCAGCTGGTAGGTGAGTCTGGATTTGGACCCAGGCCATCTAGCTCCAGAGCAAAAGACCTGAACCACTCTGACAGGCTTCCTTTCACCCAGAGCTGGGCCCTAGGGACATTTGTGAGCATGGGGGAGAAGAGCTTTGTCCCCTCTGAGCTTTAGGGTCTCCTGTGCCTGCAGCATCTGCATCCCAGCTCATGTGACACCTATTAGTACATGATTTTGCCACCCTCTCAAGTCAGAGTCTCCCTCCTGCCACAACTGGCTGGAGAATCCCTCTCTTACAGGGTCTCCAAGTGGGCGATGAGAAGCACTGGTCCTCAAGATGGCTTAGATGGTACAGGGCCTAGGCTTAAAGCATATCAAATTACACGGGGGGGGGGGAAGCTGTTCCTTTTTCAATTCTCTTTCAGTTCCAGTAACCCCAAGGGGAAGGTCTTGGCTATGGGGCTACACTTGAACACTGTATAATTCTTGCTACCTCCTCCCCTCTTTGAGAACAGTAAGACTTCTCAGTTGTTCTAGTTGGTTTTTTTTCTGCATATATCTCAAAGGCAGCCCTTCCTGCCACAACTTTAGTGCAAGCCCTACTCATTGGCCTCCTGATCACCACGAGGATTTCGGTTCTCCACTGAGTAGCCAGGGTGAGCTCTTTCAAGCTCAGTTATCTCATAACTTTAAAAACCTCCATCTGGAATGCAGGTAAAATCCAAACTCCCGGCTACAGGAGTTATAGGCATCCCACCTGCCTCTGTGACCTCACTGCCTCCCCTTCCTCCTGTGCCTCCTGTCTACCCCCTCACACAAATCTCTCTGGAAATGCATTCAGTCTCCCTGTCTTCACCAATGGCTCCTTTTCATCATTTGGGTCTTGACTCAAATGTCATCTCCTGAGAAGAGTTCCCTGAATACTGGCCCAGCAGCCCCATGCCACTCCCTCTCAACCCAGCCACCTGAGCTCCTTAACATTGGTCTGCCCCCCAGCTATAACCTGTAGCTCTTGGTTTTCTCTTGGGCTGTAAGGTCCTGGAGGGTGGAGACTGGGGCAGTCTTGGTCATTTTGATATTTCCTGTGCTTGGCTCAGTACCTAACCTATAGTAGATATTAAACACATACCTGTTAATTGACTGGTGACACAGCGACATTCGGGAGTCCTCCTGAGAGCTTCTTTTGGAAATGGCTGGCCACCTTCCTGCTCTTGAGGTCCTCTTTTTTAGGGAGGGATTCTCCCACTTGTGGGCACTTACTGGGTGATTTTAGGGCGTGCACAGATTCCACCTGAAATAACATCACCATGGAGAAAGGGGAACTTCCCTCTTCCATTATCTTTGAATTTTCCTCATTGTACAAGAGGAAAATTCTGTTAGTGTTACTCCTTATCACTTCTCCAACACTTGCTGATCTCAGATTCTTACAAAGTCCTCGGTTTTACAGTTTCCTGCACATACCGGTATTTACCTAGATTATAACATTATATTCTTTTCACTGTGTATATATTTTATAGATACTTTGTTAAAGTGGGAAGTGATTTAAGGTAATGCTATGGTGTTCCTCTCTTAAATAAACTTATTTAGGTTTTTTAAAATAGCAAATTGACTTAAAGACATTAAACACAGGTGTATGTGTCTGTGGCCAGTATTGTGAAGGGGGGGTGCCTTTGGTGATAGTTGGGGGACCTCTCACTGTTCCAGGCAGAGCAGGCCCTTCTGGAACACAGACTAACTCCAAATGAGTCCCTGGGCCAAGTGCCATTTAGTTTGTTCAGTGATATGAGAAGTTATTCAGCTGAGTATGAATGAGCCTTTTCCCTGGACCTCAGTGCATGAATTTGGGGGACCTCTTTGTCAATCGCAGTCTATTTTGCTTTAATGTGTAGGGCCTCTGTTCTTTTCTGTGCAGTTCCGACAACTTGGTATGAACTCCATGGTCATGAGTAGAGAATGGTGGATCTGGGACACAGAATACTTAACATCCTGATGTTAAAGTTCCCTAGTGAAGTCTGGCCCTGGGCTTTTCTTTGTCCATCTTATAAGCCAGACAAACATGAGCTATTATTTGAGAATGCACCAAATAAATAACCTAGTGCACAGCTTTGCTCAGCCCAACTACTGAAAGATAGAACTCAGCTACATAAATTCTAAGGTCCAAAAAATTGGACCTTCCAGGGCCCTAAGCACCCTTTACCCTCCGTGTCAGTCAGATCTCCTATTCTTTTCAGTCCAGATGGATGGTGTTAGGTATTTAAAATATGCAGCAAGTATACATCTTGGCATTCCTTTGACTCAAAATGTGCCAGCTTTGTGTATTTTCTGTAGTATACTAATACCCAATTTCTCCATAAGTCAAACATTCAGCAAATTCAAATGTTTGGCTTGAAAGCTGTGTGGCTTTGGACAAGTACTTAACCTCTCTGAGCTTCAGTTTACTTCCTTGAGTTGTTTGAAGATTAAAGGAGATAATGCAGGTGAAGCAGTGTCCAGCATTCAATAAATGGCTGTCATATTTTTGGTTTGCATCTCACCAGTCCCCTCCCTCCAGGAAGCTGCACTCTAATTTGATTAGCTTTCCTAACTATATCTCGGCAGCTTCCTCTCCACCCCTTGCAGTCATTCAGTCATTTCTTTACCAAGATCTACTGCGTGCCTTGTTTTGTGCTGCACGCTGTCTCCGCTAAGCAGGAATCAAGCCAGGTCCCCAAGCCAGGTACCAAGCCCACGGCCGAGTAAGAAAGACTCGCAAACGGAGCAGATGGGCTGGAATGGAGGTATGTGGCCCGTGCAGCCAGAGCGAATGCGGTGGCAATGTCTCACTGAGACTTGGGGGTGTGAGGAGTCGACGGAGAGGGGGTGTCATTCAGGCAACTGGCAGTGCCCGTACAAAAAAGCACAAGCACAGGAGAGAGCGCGGACTGCTGGTGTACGCCTAAAGCCTGGGTGCATCTGGGGCAAGCTTCAGGACCCGGGGCCGGAGGGCTTTGAATCGGGGTTCCTCCAACTGACAATAGGAGCCCCGAGGAGCTTGAGTTCAGGAGTGAAGCCTCGGCCCGGCCAAGCCACCTCGAAGGAATGGTTCCGGACAGTGCACCACTAGAGCCTGTGGACCCCCGCTGCGGCCGACCGAGAACACGCCAGCCACTGAAGGCGGAAATCACTGCCGGAGAGCTAGCGGACTGCGGCAGCACTACCAGCATACACGGCGGTGGGCGGAACCGGAAACTCCGGGCGCGTGGCTGGTGGGCCAGGCGGCGCGGCTGAGGCCCAGGGGGCGGGCCCGGCTCTCTCTGGACAGCTGATTGGTCGGCCCCCGGCAGCGCGGCCGTGGCTCCTGGAACTGTCATCTCCGAGGGGTGAGTCCTGGGTTCGAGCCTGGGCCCCTCCGGCTGCTGAATTGCTTCTCGGTTCCCCGCTAGCACCCCCGGCCTTCCGAGGTGTCCCCTGGAGAGGTAGAGCCAGGCCCGGGCTCGTCTTGGGCGTGCTGCTCCTTTTCTGTTCCAGACTATCGGGCCAGGACCGCTCAGGTAGTTTTTGTGGGGGAGGGGCGAATCATGCGTAGCCTATGGGACCTCGTCCCTAGAGAAAGGTAATGCGGGGCTGTGGCGTGGAGGACAACCAAGTGGCTCAGGTAGAGGCCTGGGGGCTGAAGCCTGGCGAAAGCCTCAGAGGAGGCCTCAATCCCGGACTGAGGAGTGGGAGGGGAGGAGGAGGCGGCAGGGGACTTGCGTGGGTCCGGACGAGACCGCCCAGGATGAGGTCAGAACTCCTGGAGGCAGGACCATCCGGGGAATGGGTTGAAAGAGTAGGAGCCAGCCAAGAACAGCCACAAAGGTACAGACGACCGCCCCAGTATCCAAGGCATGTTTAATGATTTTGTGATTCTTGGCAGAACGGGAGGCCACACCGAGATAAAGCGAGATACGACCTAATAAGTGTATTTTAGATGTGGGCATCACTTTGGTAAGCCGAAGACATAATTAATTTTTTAAAAGATTGTATAATGGAAGTGTTTAGACTTATATAAAAGTCAATAAAACACGGAAAATAGCATACCATATGGATCCAAGTTCTAGTCACCCAGCCTCAACCACAAATGGCCACCCTGGTTGCATTACACATATGTTAAGATTCGACTCAAATCCATACCTGTAATATGTCAATCTTAAGTTTAAAAACAAAAAAGTTCCTTTCATGTCTAATGGGTATAGAGGTTCAGTTTTGCAAAATGAGAAGAGTTCTGGAAATTGGTTGCACAACAACTACTGAACTGTAACTTAAAAATGGTTAAGATGGTAAACTTTATGTCATGGGTTTGAACCACAAATCTTTTTAAAGTTTCTTTCAAATTAAAAAAAAAAAAGATGCTGCAAATTAGGGGAAAAATCTGATCTTCAAATGTGCAATGGAAAGTAATTCACTGCCAAGTAGAGGCCCATAGAATTGTTTTTAACTATGGAGGCTCTGGAATGAACCTGTTGGTTTTGGTGCTCAGAGCAGTGGGACCTGGCCTGGGGTGCAGTTTAAGCACTGGAGGTGCCCTCTGGTTTATACTAGACCTAACCTGAAGGGTTAGACCCACCTGGCTTTGCCAGATTTCTCCTGAATATTCCTGTTTCTTACACTCAGAGGCATACCTTTAACCCATAGTCAAGCTCCTGTACCTTCATTCACAGAGGGTGAGTGAAGTGTGAATTTGTCTTTTTCTCTCCATTCTCATTCTTTAGGGCACACCTGGGTACTCTGTCTCCAATCTACTCCATCTCCCAAATGTACCACAGGTCAGCCTTTCACACTCCTTGGTGTTAACTGGTAGGCAACCTCTCTCTTCCAAGTGAGCCCTACATGGGTAGCCCTGAAACCTCCTTTTGCCCCCCCAAACAAACAAACCATAAAATGAGAAAATAACTGCCAGGTTTGGGTTTTGGGCTCCCCTTATCTTGCTCTAGGGGCCCCAGGACCGGCTAAATTTTCTTACTGTAAGTTGGCTTTTATTAGAGAGTCAAACAATAATGGATAAAATTTGCATCAGAAAGTTATATTAGAGGGGCACCTGGGTGGCTCAGTGGTTAAGCCTCTGCCTTCAGCTCAGGTCATGATCTCAGGGTCCTAGGATCGAGTCCCGCATCGCAGGGAGCCTGCTTCCTCCTCTCTCTCTCTCTGCTTGCCTCTCTGCCCACTTGTGATCTCTCTCTGTCAAATAAATAAAATCTTAAAAAAAAAAAAAAAGAAAGAAAAAAAAAAAAAGAAAGTTATATTAGAGGGGTCACTTGGCCGGCCAGTTGGTGGAGCTTGTGATTCTTGATCTTAGGGTTGTGAATTCAAGCCCCACATTAGGCATAGCACTTTAAAAAATAAAATGCAGGCATCTGGGTGGCTCATTTGGTTGAGAGTCTGCCTTCAGCTCAGGTCATGATCCCAGGGTCCTGGGATCGAGCCCCATATGGGTCTCCCTGCTGAGCAGGAAGCCCGCTTCACCCTCTCCCTCTGCCTGCTGCTCCCCCTACTTGTGTTCTCTCTCTCTCTGTCAAATAAATAAATAAAATATTTTACAAAATAAAATATATGCATTAAAAATAACTTATATTAGTTTTTGAGTAATGGCTATTTAGAACTATTCAGGAAAAAATTAGACACTTGATCATATCACTAGATAGTAATGATGGTAAGACAGAATTAGTGACAGGGCTGCTGGTAATGAATGACAAAGCAAAAGCTAGATTCAATCACAGGGTGAGCTTGCTTAGTGCTCGATATGTAAATATATATCTTTTTTCAAAGATTTTTATTTATTTGAGACAGAGAGTGAGTGAGAGAGAGACAGCATGAGAAGGGGGCATGTTAGAGGGAGAAGCAGGCTCCCCACAGGGTGGGAGCCTTACTCAGGGACTCGATCCTGGAGCAAACTGAGCCACCCAGGTGCCCTGTAGATATATACCTGTTCACTGAGAGCTATCAAGATGATTGTTATTGAAGTATCTGCAGGAAATAATGCTATTGCTCATATATAACTCATTTACCCTTTAACTTCCTTTTTCTCCATAGAAACAGTTGTGATTTTGGATTAAGTGAGTTTTGTTTAGGAATACAGCCATCATGTTACATCATAACTGCCTGTACACAGGAGGTGATATGAAATCAATGAACCATTTTCTTATGTTTTTCTTTGTAGGGAAGATGGAAGAGCTGAGTCAAGCCCTGGCTAGTAGCTTTTCTGTGTCTCAAGATCTGAACAGCACAGCTGCCCCACACCCCCGCCTGTCCCAGTACAAGTCCAAGCACAGTTCCTTGGAGCAGAATGAACGGCGCCGTCGGTTGTTGGAACTGCAGAAATCGTAAGGGATGCTTTAACTCTTTGGCCTCTTTCTTCAGGTTAGGAGCTGGGAGCCAACCAGGAAGCTCTAGGTCTGGTTTTTTCAAAGTAGCCCCTTTGTACATACATCTTGCCCATGAAGTTGAGAGGCAAAAATCCTGGCAGAGGTAGACATCCTGTACACTGAAAGCTTAGGAAAAGATGGAAACATCGGCAGATACTGAAATTTGAAAGCAAAAGCTCACTTATTTGGTTAAATTTTTCTTTTTTTCCTGGCAGCAGTACCGAGCTCTGCGATTTAGGGACTTGTGAAAGCCACGCCCAGACTTCCACTCCCCACATTCCCTGTGTGGCTTCTGCACTCTGAATCCTGGCATTGGTGTGGTCTTCCTGTCTGCCTTCAGCCCACATGTTTCTGTGGAGCCCTTGAGAGTTCAGTACAAATAATTCCACAGGGAATCTGAGGAAATGTCTTCCATACACTGAATTCTCAGTGCCAAGATGAGCAAGCAGGCGAAGAGAGCAGGATAGGAGAGTTTGAGGCTGGGCTGCTCTGAAGGCAGGCCCTGTCCATTTTTCCTGTGTACAACATGAGCCTCTTGGTCATAAGGAATTGAGGATTCGAAGGAACTATTAACAGCTGCACAGTTTCTCTATGATCTGCATTCTGCCCAGTGCTGCGTCATTGGCTGTATTTAGCAGAAATGGTTCCCTGTGGCCTCTGGGTTGCTTGTAGATTACATTCTCAGATCACCTCCCCCACTCCCCACCCCCACCTCTGTTGTTTAAATATTATAATTAATTATTTTGGAATAGGTAACACATTGATTGTATGTATTCCGATTCAAAATTCAAAATTTGTACGAGTATATGGTGAAAAGTCTCCATCCCAGTATGATGCTAAGTGAAATAAGTCAGACTGAATATGATTTCGCTCATATGTGGACTCTGAAAAATAAAGCAATTAAATAAACAAACAAAAAGTAGAATCAGACTGTAAACACAGAGAACAAATCTGTGGCTGCCAGAGGGGAGGGGGTAGAAGGATGGGCACAATGGGCGAAGGGGGTGGGAGAGGCAGGCCTCCAGTTACAGAATGAATGAGTCTTGGAAATAAAAGGCACAGTGTAGGGAATACAATCAATGATATTTAATAATGTTGTATGGTGATAGATGGTAGCTACACTTGTGGTGAGCACCGGAGATAACAGAGAGAAGTTGCATCATTGTATGTACACTGGAAACTAATGTAACCTTATGTGTCAACTGTACTCAACAAAAAAAAAATTAAGAAAATAAAAGCCTCCCTCCCAATTCTGTCCTCTGGCCATTCAGTTCCTCTCCCATATTATTAGTTTCTTTTGTATCTTTCCAAAGATATTCTGTGCAGATATGAGCAAGTGTGTGGTTGTACATGTATATGCCATTTTTTTAAAACAGAGGCAGCGTACAATACACAGTTCTGCACATTTTATTTAACGGCGTTTTTTTCCCAGAGATTCTAGATATATACCTGTTCACTGAGAGCTATCAAGATGATTGTTATTGATCGGCAGAAAGTCTGCTTGTCCCTCTCCTTCTGCCCCTCCCCCTGCTGTGCGCTCTCTGTCTCTTTAGGCACCCCTAAATAAATAAAATTTTTAATAAAAAAATATTAAATCATAAACTAAGAGGCCTGTTATGAAAGTCAGATAAGAACTGGAGGGAGGGCACACCTGGGTGGCTTCGTTGGTTAAGTGTCTGCCTTTGGCTCAGGTCATGATCGCAGGGGCCTTGGATCAAGTCCCACATCAGGCTCCCTGCTCCACTGGGAGTCTGCGGCTCCCTCAGCCCCTCCCCGTCTCGTTCCTTCTCTCTCTCTCTCAAATATTTTTTAAAATTTTTTTATTTGAGAGAGGGAGAGGGAGAACCAGGCTCCCTGCTGAGCCGAGAGACCAATGTGGGGCTCAATCCCAGGACCCTGGGATCATGACCTCAGCCAAAAGCAGACTCTTTTTTTTTTTTTTTAAGATTTTATTTATTTATTTGACAGAGATCACAAGTAGTCAGAGAAGCAGGCAGAGAGAGAGAGGAGGAAGCAGGCTCCCTGCTGAGCAGAGAGCCCGATGCGGGGCTTAATCCTAGGACCCTGGGATCATGACCTGAGCTGAAGGCAGAGGCTTTAACCCACTGAGCCACCCAGGTGCCCCAAATAAATAAAATCTTTAAAAAAAAAAAAAAAAAAGGAGCTGAAAGAAGGCCTGGCAGCTCCTTAGAAAGCCGTATAAATTAGGGGCACCTGGGTGGCTTAATCAGGTAAGCTCCCATTATTGATTTTGGCTCAGGTCATGAGTCATGATCTCAGGGTTGGGCTCCATGCTCAGTGGGGAGTCTGCTTGCGAGTCTCTCTCCCTCTGCCTCCCCCCACATGCACACACATTCTCTCTCTCTCTCTCTCTCTTTCTCTCTCAAATAAATAAATACATCTTTGAAAAATAAAGAAAGAGGGGCACCTGGGTGGCTCAGTTGGTTAAGCATCTGCCTTCAGCTCAGGTCATGATCCCAGGGACCTGGGATCAAGCCCCAAGTTGGACTCCCTGATCAACAGAGAGCCTACTTCTCTCCATCTGCTGCTCCCCCTGTTTATGTACTTGCTCACTCTCTCTTTCTGTCAAATAAATAAATAAAATATTTTTTAAAATAAATAAGTAAAAAAGAAAGAAAGCAAGCTGTATACATTGGAAACTCCTCACATCTCAGTGACTCCTCTCTTTAATTACCGGGAGCCTTTGGATAAGATGCCTGCCAGGCAGGAAAGTGTCAGCTCTAAGGGGGGAGTAGAGATGAGAATCTGGAATGGTGTGTGCAGGAGCAGGGTCAGCCTTTCCAGCTAGGGAACCTTGAAAATTCCTTTCAACATGTTACTCTGTTTTTAGGATACTCTGAGGAAGGCTGAGTGTACTCAGAGGGGGCTAGTTTAGCATTACAAAGGAAATTCTACCATCTCTTCCACTAGAATCCCCAGGCTGCTCCTGAACTTGAAACCCTTGAGTTAAACTAAAATTGTCACATTGTAGGGGGTCTTCCAGGGAGACATAAAAGGCCTGTCCTTGTGCCTTCTTTTCTCCAGCAAGCGGCTAGATTACGTGAATCATGCCAGAAGACTGGCTGAAGATGACTGGACAGGGATGGAGAGTGAGGAAGAGGAAGATAAGAAAGATGATGAAGAGATGGACATTGACACTGGCAAGAAGTTACCAAAACGCTACGCTAATCAAGTGAGTAGTCCAGGGAAGGTGAGGCCCAGGTCCAGCCCCACCGAAGCAAATGTTGCCATAAAGAGAGGAGGAGACAGGAAGAAGGAATGGGGGACTGCAAAGAGGCTGGTTATGTGCATCAGGTATATGGACTAAGAGAAGAAATGGCTCCGGTGCCATGTGGTAATGGGGTCGGGGAAGGCGCTTGTCACAGAGGGAGGCTGGGGTGCTGGGTTTGAGAACATTTACCCAATGCCACTGCAGAAAGCCACTGGGCTATTGCTACACTAACAGAGTCCATGCACTTAACATTTCTTGGTGGTCATTGTAGGGCAGCTCTAGATCGGGCCTGCCCAGGCTAGCACTGTGCCCACCCCACCTCCTAGGTTATGGGTCTTTCCTGAGCAGTAGACTAACATGTCAGTCTTGGATCTTCACATTCAGATGGTGGAAGGTGGGGAGGACAGCTGCCCTTGAATATGGGGCGCCTGGCCAGCCACGCCAGCCCTGCCAGTTGGCCTACATGAGGTTGAGGCCATGAAACAATAGATGACAATAACAAACTTGACTAAGTGGCCTGTTGGTTGCAGAAAGAAACCAGTGTGGTTTGTGGAGCCACAGGGGAAGCAGGCATGGAGACCGTTCAGTACCCCATGGTGCCCAGGTATTCCAGAAGGCAGGGGATGGGTCCATGTGGAGTCGGGGCTCTACCTTGCTATTATATTCTTCTCTCTATATCTATATCTTGTCGGCTCAGAATCCTGTCCCACCTTAGGATATGGTTTCTGGGGGTGCCTGGGTGGTTCAGTCAGTTAGGTGTCTGCCTTCCGCTCACCTTATGGTCCCAGGTTCCTGGGATCGAACCCTGCATCTGGCTCTCTGCCCAGGAGGGAGCCTGCTTCTCCCTCTCCTTATGCCTGCCGCTCCCCCTGCTTGTTCTCTTCCACCACCCCCTGCCAAATAAATACATAAAATCTTTAAAAAAAAAAAAAAAAGAATATGGTTTCTGGGTACACCCGCTCCCATCTTCTTTCTGTGTCCCCGATACAGCACAGTAACATCTTCTATGGTAAAGTACAGTTCCGTTCTGTTCAGCAAGCATTGTTGAAGGCCCTGCTCTGTATTAAGCTAGACTATGTGTGGGAAGATGGACAAGGGTCCTGTACTGGAATAAGTGGAGATTATGGTTTTTGCTGTAAGAAAGTGAGATTAGCTAACAGCAAGGAAGGAAGCAAGGTTATGAAATCAGGAGAAGGTTATTGAAAGAGGAGGCAGCTTTTTCCTTTTTTTTTTTTTTTTTAAAGATTTTATTTATTTATTTGACAGAGAGAGAGATGACAAAGAGGCAGAGAGGCAGGCAGAGGGAGAGGGGGGAGGCAGGCTCCCTGCTGAGCAGAGAGCCCAATGCGGGGCTCGATCCCAGGACCCCAAGACCATGACCTGAGCCAAACGAAGGCAGAGGCTTAACCCACTGAGCCACCCAGGTGCCCCAGCTTTTTTCTTTTTTAAAGATTTTATTTATTTATTTGAGAGGGAGAGAGTGTATACATGAGCAGGGGGAGAGGCAGAGGGAGAAGCAGACTCTCCACTGAGCAGGGAAGCCCGACACAGGGGCAGGGCTCATCCCAGGACCCCAGGATCATAACCTGAGCCAAAGACAGCCACTTAACCCACTGAGCCCCCCAGGAGCCCCAAGAGGAGGTAAGACATTGAAAGGCAGAGGTGCAGAGCATGCCAGGGCCTTCCAGGCAGCAAGAAGAGGCTGAGCAAAAGCCCCGAGGTGGGAGGAGTATACTGTGTGCAGAGAGCAGTGCAGGCCAGTGAGGATGGAGCAGCACAGCGCTGTGGGAAGGAATACAGCAGAAACATCTGCGGGAGTGTAGACTGTGTTTTAAATTATGGGGAACCACTGAGAATTTTTGAGCCAGGGACAGAGTTTGGACTTTATATGACACGCATGTCCGTGTAGAGGAGGGCCTAGAAGAGAGAGGCTGGAGTAGGTTGCTTAGCTTTGCTAAACCATCTGCTGCCGGTGCTGAGGGCAGTGAAGGTGCGAAGGAAATGAGGTCATGAGTGTGAGAAGTGTCGCCAGGACGAATGGATAGAATTTAACAGTGGATGGGATGGAAGAGGCAATGTGATAAGTGGTTAAGTATTTAAGCTTTAAAGTCACGTCCCCCTGACCTCAAAGTTAGGCTCTTTGTTGACCTTGAGCAAGTCACTTAATGGCTCTAAGTCTTGGTTTCTTATCTGTAGAGTGGGGATAGTTACAGTACTATTTCACAGGATTGTTAAAAGGATTGAAACAAATAGTATACCCTAAATACCTAGCCCAGAGCCCGTAATAAATGCCCCACAAATGTTAGCTACCATTTTTTTCGACAGCCGTGTCGAGATAAATTAACATACCATACAATTCACACATTTACAGGGTACAATTCAGTGTATTTTGGTGTCATCACAGAACTGTGCAACCATTGCCACTCTCTAATTCCAGAACAATTTCATCACCCCAAAAGGACCCTCATACCCATCAGCAGTCAACTCCCATTCGTCCTTTCCCCCAGCCCTTAGCACTCAGTCATATACTTTCTGTCTCTCTGGATTCACCTCTTCTGGACATTTCCTATAAATAGAATCATATGAGATGTGCTCTTTGTGTCTGGTTTCTTTCATTTAGCATAAGGTTTTTCAAGTTCATCTGTGTTGGAACGTGCGTGAGAACTTCATTTCTTTTTATTCCCAGATAATGTTCTGTTGTCCGGATCCCCCGCATTTGGCTGGTCTACCCATCAGGTGGTGGCATTTGAGTTGCTCCCACTTTCTGGCTGTTGTGAATAATAATGCTGCCGTGGATAGTCACGAACAAGTTTTTGCATGGATATGTTTTCTTGGGTATATACCTGGGAATGGAATTCCTAGGGCGTATGGTCATTCTATGTTTAACATTTTGAGGAGCTGCCAGACTGTTTTGCAGAGCAACTAGAGTGTTTTACATCCCCGCCAACAGTGGATCAGGGCTCCAGCATCTCCACATCTCTGCCAATGCTTCTTGTTGCCCATTCCTTTGAGTATAGCCATCCTGAAGGATATGAAGTGGTGTCTCATGGTTTGTTTGTTTTTTCAAGATTTTATTTATTTATTTGACACAGAAAGACACAGCGAGAGAGGGGACACAAGCAGGGGGAGTGGGAGAGGGAGAAGCAGAAAGCCGGAAGCAGGGCTCGAACCCAGGACCCTGGGATCATGACCTGAGCCAAAGGCAGATGCCCAACAGATGAGCCACCCAGGCGCCCTGTGTGTCTCATGGTTTTGATTTCCATTTCCTTATGGACTAATGATATTGAGCATCTTTTCATGTGCTTATTAACCATTCGTATATCTTCTTTGGAGAAATGTCTATGCCCTTTTTTGTTTTTTTAAGTGAGGGGGACAGGGAAAGAGAAAGAAAGAGAGAGGAGGGGCAGAGTGGGGGAGAGAGAGAGAGAATCTTAAACAGACTCCTTACTGGGCTCAGTCTCATGACCCTGAAATCATAACCTGAGCCAAAATCAAGAGTCAGACGCATGACCAAGTGAGCCACTCAAGGTGCCCCTCTATGCCCATCTTTTTCTTTTTTTTAAAAGATTTTATTTATTTATTTATTTGACAGAGAGAGATCACAAGTAGGCAGAGAGGCAGGCAGAGAGAGAGGAAGGGAAGCAGGCCCCTTGCTGAGCAGACAGCCCAATGTGGGGCTCGATCCCAGGACCCTGAGATCATGACCCGAGCTGAAGGCAGAGGCTTTAACCCACTGAGCCACCCAGGCGCCCCAACTACCTATGCCCATCTTTTAATTGGGTTGTCTTTTATTATTAAGTGTTAAGAGTTCTTTATATATTGTAGATACAAGTCTCTTATCAGGCAGATAATTTGCAATATTTTCTCCCATTCTGTGGGTTGTCTTTTTACTTTCTTGATAGTATCAGCAGCGACACTAAAGTTTTAAATTTTGATGTAGTCTTATTTATCTATCCCTTGTTTTGTCACCTGTGCTTTTGGTGTTGTATCACTACCGTTCTTTAAGGACACATTGACTATGTTGAGTTTAAGATTCAGTAACAGAGGAATGCCTGGGTGGCTCAGTCAGTTAAGCGTCTGTCTTCGGCTCAGGTCATGATCCCATGGTCCTAGGATCGAGTCCCACATCTGGCTCCTTGCTCAGCCGGGAGCCTTCTTTTCCCTCTGCCTGTGGTTCCCCCTGCTTGTGCGTGCTCTTGCACTCTCTCTCTCTGACAAATAAGTAAACAAAATCTTTTTTAAAAATGAGATTTGGTAACAGAATGGTATTACCATTAACAGGGCTACAGGGTACAGAAGGAGAAGGTGGGGAGTTTCAGGGATGGAAAGTACTTAGGCTACTGAAGGCCATGAATCCTGTTTTGGGGACTCTGAGTTAAGGTATAGAGAGAGCAAGCAGAGAAAGAGATACCATGTGGACGGCTGGAAATACAGGTCTAGAGGAAAGGAAAGCAGTCAGGAGATGAAAAAGCGGGAGAATTGGGGTACCTGGCTGGCTCAGTTGGTGGAACGTGCAACTCTTGACCTCGGGGTCGTGTTGGGTGTAGAGCTTACTTAAGAAAAGAAAGAGAGAGAGAGAGAAACAGAAGGAGAATTGGGGGTGTCCTCTCAGAAGTAGCAGGTGAGGATGCAGAAGTAGATACAACCAGCCCCAAGCAGATAACATCTAAGAGAAAAGAAAAGGGGAACCTAAAACAGCCTCCTGAAGATTCTCTGCGTGTTTTGGGGGAGTGTGTGGAGGAGTGTTTGGAGGGAAAAAAAAGAATAGCACTGGCTCACATGGCCAAGGGAACATGTGTCAAGGAGAATGAGGAGGTGGTGACCGGCAGCGTCACACGAGGAGTGGAGGGAGGTGGGTAAGGGGGAGGGAAGGGAAGAGAGACACTTGGCAGCAGGCAGGTCACTGACAGCCTCTGGCAGGGCTTCGGGGTAGCAGGTCTGGACTGAGGATGTCAGGGTGCGGGGGAGGGCAGCATCTAGAAATATGAAGTTGTTTTAAGAAGGACAAAGTGGGATAGTTTAACAGAAACACAGAGTGACAAAAGGTTTTCATTTTTGTTTTGTTTTTGAAGATTAGGACGTGAGCAATTTGTGGGCCAAGGGGAAGGAGAGATGAAAGATTCCGTGGGGGCGATTCGGTGATGGCTGGTCTCTGTGGAGATGGGAGGAATTGTGAGCCATGAGTTAATCTTTGCAAAATTCATTTCAACACCCTCACCATCCCCCCCTTTTTTTAAATTTAAATTTTGTTAGTTACCACACAGTGCAATTTTGGTTTCTGGAGTAGAATTCAGTGATTCGTCACTTCCATGTAGCACCCAGTGCTCATCACAGGTGCCCTCCCTAATACCCATCACCCATCTAGCCCATCCCCCACCCACCTCCCTCCGTCATCCCTCAGTTTGTTCTCTGTCATTAAGAGTCAATTATGGATGGGGCACCAGGGCGGCTCAGTTGCTAAGTGTCTGCCTTCAGCTCAGGTCATGATCCCAGGGTCCTGGAATTAAACCCTGCATCTGGCTCCCTGCTCTGCGGGGTACCTGCTTCTCCCTCTTCCACTCCCCCTGCTTGTGTTCCCTCTCTGGCTGTCTCTCTCTCTGTCAAATAAATAAAATCTTTAAAAAAAAAAAAAAGTCACTTCTGGCTTATTTCCCTCTCTCCTTTTCTTCTTTTCCCCCTTCCCATATGTTCTCTTTTTTTTTAAATTCTACATATGAGTGAGATCATATGGTATTTGTCTTTCTCTGACTTATTTCACTTAGCATTATACACTCTAGCTCCATCCATGTCATTGCAAATAGCAAGATTTCATTCTTCATCTCCCCCTTCCTTAAGGCAGATTTCCCAACATTCTTTGTACAGTATTTGGGGTCACCAGTTTTGGAAATGATGATCTAGATTAAGAGCATCTCAAGGTCAGGGACCTCATTCATCTCTGAGGTGTAGCCTCTGGAACGGAATAGTTATGAGAACGGCAGGTGGACAAAGTAAGGGGAGGAAGAAGGTCCCATCACCCAGACACAGGAGGCAAAGTAGAAAGAATGGGTATAGATGCAGGAAATGAAGATAAGGGGAGAAGTTGAAGCTCACAGTGAGCGGCCTCTATCCCATCAGCTGAGACAAGTCGACTAAGAGCAAGTGGGGCAGAGGTCTACAGTCAGCCTTGTGTGTATTTTCACTATACATATAGGGTGTGAATTCTTTGTCATTGCAAACATTGCAGCAGCACACCCCTGTTGATTTTCTTTAGTGTTTAATTTTTTTTTAATTTTTTTAAAGATTTTATTTATTTATTTGACAGACAGAGGTCACAAGTAGGCAGAGACGCAGGCAGAGAGAGAGGAAGGGAAGCAGGCTCCCTGCTGAGCAGAGAGCCCAATGCAGGGCTTGATCCCAGGACCCCAGGATCATGGCCAGAGCCAAAGGCAGAGGCATTAACCCACTGAGCCACCCAAGCACCCCTAGTGTTTAATTTTTCTAAGTAATCTCTCTACCCAGCATGTCGCTCAAATTCACAACCCCGAGATCAAGAGTCACAGACAGACTCTACTGACTGAGCCAGCCAGGTACCCCATCACTGATAATTTTTTTTTTAATTTTATTTATTTATTTGACAAACAGAGATCACATGTAGGCAGAGAGGCAGGCAGAGAGAGGGGGAAACAGGCTCCCCACTGAGCATAGAGCCCGATGCAGGGCTCAATCCCAGGACCCTGAGATCATGACCTGAGCTGAAGGCAGAGGCTTAACCCACTGAGCCACCCAGGTGCCCCCCCTGATGATTTTTAATGCCTTTTTTTGTGTTCCTAGTTGATGCTGTCTGAGTGGTTAATTGACGTCCCTTCGGATTTGGGGCAGGAATGGATTGTGGTCGTGTGTCCTGTTGGAAAAAGAGCTCTGATTGTGGCCTCCAGGGTGAGTCGCTGCCTCCTCCCTATCCCAGCATGCCTGGTCTATGGCGGGAGGGATTCTTTGCACTTTGTGTTCCTTTTTTTTTTTTTTTTTTTCTTTTTTGGTGAGCATCAAAGCAAGGTTTATTGAGAGATAGCAAAGTGAGAGCACAAAGCTCCCAAGGAGGGAGGCGGCCGGAGAGGGTTGCCACCGGGGTTTCTAAGTCCAAGGGTTTTTATGGGCTTGTTAGCGGGCTGTTTTCATCTGATTAACCCTCCCTGCGCCGGTCATCCAAACATGGGAAAGGGTGGAGAGCTCCTTCCAGGGTGGTGTAAGATCCTTTCAAGAGTGGTTTCCTTGGGGCCCCTGGGTGGCTCAGTGGGTTAAAGCCTCTGCCTTGGGCTCAGGTCATGATCCCAGGGTCCTGGGATCGAGCCCCTGCATCGAGCCCCGCATCAGGCTCTCTGCTCAGCAGGGAGCCTGCTTCCTCCTCTCTCTCTGCCTGTTTCTCTGCCTACTTGTGATCTCCATCTGTCAAATAAATAAATAAAATCTTTAAAAAAAAAAAAAAAAAAGAAGAGTGGCGACCATTCAAAGCTACTTCCTGCTGGTCAGGGTGTTGGATGGGGCGGCTGTCAGGATTCCTCTCGTCCGGATTTATCAAGAGGTCCTCTGTAAATGTCTGGTTTGACCTCCATGTGAGCCTCCATCTGAACCACTTTTCGGAGTTTGATGACCTTTATCTGTTAGTTGTCCTTAACAATGGTGCAGATCCCAGACGAGCCCCCATAAATGTTTTAGGACTTTTTTCTCCGTCGGTGCCTGTGGTTCTTGGTCACACCTCTTTGAAGAATGAAGAGGTAGACCAGACGGAGTAGTGGGCAGCAAAGCAAGGTTTAATGAGCAACAGCAAAGTGAGGGTACAAAGCTCCCGAGGAGGGAGGAGGCCCAAGAAGGTCACCTGTGCTTCGAGTTCCCTATCTCTTGCAGCCACTGGGTCTGGCATGGGTTTTGAAACACTTTCCTGCAGGAGGGCTAAGTTGAGAGCCGTCTTTGGGCCAATGACACCCCTGCAGACTGTGGAAGCAGAGGGTGAGGAGACCTTGATGCCTAATGGGAATGGTAACTTTCCACACAGGGTTCTACCAGCGCCTACACCAAGAGTGGTTACTGTGTCAACAGGTTTTCTTCCCTTCTGCCAGGCGGCAACAGGCGAAACTCAACAACAGCAAAAGGTACCTACATAAAATTATCTATTTATTCAGTTTGTTTGTATGTTTAGAAATATATATTTTAAAGTAATCTCTACACTCAACAGGGGTTCAAACTCCTGACCCCAAGTTCAAGAGTCACAAGTTCTACCAACTGAGCCAGCCAGGTGCCCTATTTATTAAGTTTTGTAATTAGTAAAAGACAGCAGAAGGTCCTTGGTTACTTGCTTTAAAGACTCACTTTGAAAGTATACCTTTGAAACTGTAGCTCTAGATTTGGGCCATCTCCTTCAAGTTCAAGGGAGTCGTATCCACTGAATTCAGGCCGTCTTCAAGGTCAGGCCTCCTCAGTTATAGAACAGATGCAGTCCTATGAGGACTGCTGGGCAACAAACCCCTGAATTAAAGTTGACACACCTTCCCCATGGACACCCATTACAAGGTGACACATGCAGTTTTGCGTGGGGGAGGTCCCTTGGAATGCCGAGTGTAAAGTACAGTGAGCTGTTTCTGGGGCTTCCTGCCAAATTCCCTTTCCTCCTTTATCATTGTTCTAACCGTAGCCTCTCCAACCTAGGCTCCGCTGAGGAGACTAAGTTCAGGGAGGTTAAATCACTTGCGGGCGGCCATTCATCGAAGTGGCAGAGCTGGACCTGAAACGCTGTTCTCTTCCCTGCCGGCTCAGGCTCCCTGGGTGGTTCTTTATGTGCTTGTTACCAAGCCCAGCCTTTCCTGTTAGCTTCTAGAGGGCCTCACATGTGCCTTTTGGCTCACCCATCCTCGTATCTTTCCCCTACTCCTTACACCCACTCCTAGCTCTGGTCAGCTTGCTTGCCTGCTTGTTCCCCACATTTGGCCAGTTCATTTCACCTGGAGGCCTTTCCTCATGTCAGGTCAGTATTCTGGCCTGAAATGCCCTCCCACCTCCCTTCTGCCCTGTTGTTTTAATCCTCTGATCCCGGAAAACTACATCTCTTCCATGTTATCTCTTCTGTGAAGAATTTCCTGCTTCTCTAGTCTCCCTCTTCTGGAATTCCTGTTGCTCTTAGTTTGTGTGGTACAGTTCCACTCTTGGTTCTTTTCTCTGTGATCATCTTATCTCTTTACCTAGATTGTAAGTTCCTTAAAGGCAGCCACTACTTAGAGTTAATATTCCCCACAGAACACACCACCTATGATAGGAACTCAAAAGTGCATGTACATTAAAATGGAAGATTGCTTGCTTTTGGATTGGAGCTTTCCTAAGATGAGTAAATGTCCCAGTTTATCTAAAAGTTTAGAATTCCCACCTGGCTTAAGGGTCGCCTTGATCTCTTTCATGCTGTCCTGCTCACATCACCCTTCAGCGGCACCAGGAGCAAGAAAGGGCCATAAAGAACTTTCTCCCTGGGGTGCGTGGGTGGCTCAGTCATTGAGCATCTGCCTTTGGCTTAGGTCATGATCCTGGAGTTCCGGGATCGGGACCCGCATCGGGCTCCCTGCTCCTCGGGATGCCTGCTTCTCCCTCTCCCACTCCCCCTGCTTGGGTTCCCTCTCTCTCTGTGTCTCTGTCAAATAAATAAATAAAATCTTTAAAAAAAAAAAAAAAAGAACTTTCTCCCTAATGAAGTCTGATTGGAATGGGCACCCAGTACTAACTTTCTGCTCTGTGTCCTCAGACTACACCATTCTGGACTGCATTTACAGTGAGGTGAACCAGACCTACTATGTTCTGGATGTGATGTGCTGGCGGGGACACCCTTTTTATGATTGCCAGGTAAGGACGGGTCCTCTCCTCGCGTCTTCCCCTCTTTTCTCCTCTCCTCCCAGGAAAGTGGCTCCACGTGTGGGTTTGGTACGTGACCAGCTTCTGTGTGTGCACAGGATGTGGTATATCAAGAACATTATCTAATGTTCCTTGTATCTTTGTGTTTAAATTAGCTTCGTTAAAAAAAAAAAAAAAGAAGAAGTAGGAGGAACTAAGGGAAGTACAGCAATCTTGAGGGGAGGAAAGAGTGAAAAGGAGCAGAGGGGTAGGCTGGGACTTTATAGAAGTTGCAGCCGCCCCCTCCCCTCTCTCCAGAGTAGAGGAGGATTGCTGGCAGGGAAGACTGTGGGCAACAGGGATGCCACCTTGTGCAGGCTGTGCAAGGAAGAGAAGGTGGAATTAAGTCACCATCGGAGAGTCTCCAGCCAGCTCCGCTGTCTCAGCAACCACATCCTGACACTGAAAACAGCAGGGCCTCCTTCATATGACACAATGGCTCGAATCTCTGAGGGGCCAGTTCTGGAAGGAGATTTTCCAAGTGAGGAGAACCCCCCCAATATTGTCCCCTCGAGTTTCACCTTCCCCCAAGGTTTTTCTGAGATTGGCGATTCCTATGAGTGACAGTCGCCGTCCCTGGAGTGAGGCTGGGTCAACCCCTTAGACTCCATTTCTGTTCCCAACACTCCCGCATCATTGTCTCAGTTTTCTAGTGGTGATTTTTTTGTCCTCCCTGTCAATTAGTTTATCACAGTCCTTCTCACTGTGGTTAGAAATGCAAATTGGCAGACCTTATGAATCTGAGACTCTGGGGTCAGCTCACATTTTAACAAGCTTCAGGACCATCTTCATGCAGGCTCAAGTGTGAATCGCAGGTTGTCACCATAGGCTGCTGCTTTCTGTAGCCATGAGCCAGAGCATGGTTTCCCAAAGTACGAGGCTAGGTGGTGGTGCCACAGAATTCGAAAACACGCCTTGTCCTAACAATAATAGCTAAGACTTGCATTGCCAAGCACGTTTGAGCACTATCTCACTGAAGCCCTTATAATGACACTCTAAGGTGAGTGCTGCTGTCGTTCCTCACATATAGGCATGGGAAGCTGAGAGCCACAGATGGTAAGTACCTTGCTCTAGTGCAGAGACACACCTAAAACTCAGACCTCATAAATTCAGTGTCAAACATATTTTCCTTTAATTCTGCTGAAGGATATTTAGTAACATGTATTCACAACCTGTAAATTTGGTTACTAGAGTTACCTTTATTTTGGGGCGCCTGGGTGGCTCAGCTGGTTAAGGGTCTGCCTTAGGCTCAGGTCATGATCCTGGGGTCCTTGGATCGAGCCTCATGTCGGGCTTCCTGCTCAGCAAGGAACCTGCTTCTCCCTCCGCCCTGCCCCCTGCTTCTGTGCACACCACATGTACACACTCTCTCTCTCAAATAAAATCCTTAAAAATAAATAAAATTACCTGTATTTCTATAATATATAGAATAGACTTCTTAAAATTTTTTTTTTTTTTATTTGTTAGAGAGAGAGAGAGGGAGAGAGAGCAAGCACAGGCAGACAGAATGGCAGGCAGAGGCAGAGGGAGAAGCAGGCTCTCTGCTGAGCAAGGAGCCCGATGTGGGACTCGATCCCAGGACGCTGGGATCATGACCTGAGCCGAAGGCAGCTGCTTAACCAACTGAGCCACCCAGGCGTCCCTTAAATTTTTTTTTTAAAGTTTTTATTTATTTAACAGAGAGAGACACAGCAAGAGAGGGAACACAAGCAGGGGGAGTGGGAGAGGGAGAAGCAATCTTCCCGCCAAACAGGGAACCTGATGCAGGGCTCGATCCCAGGACGCTGGGATCATGACCTGAGCTAAAGGCAGACGTTTAATGACTGAGCCACCCAGGCACCCCAGACTTTTTTTAATTTTTAAAAGCGAAATAATGTACAAGAAACAAAAGGCACTTAATAGCTACAGAAGGATACATATCAGGAATTCAGAAAATAAAGTAGTTTATAAGAAGTTACAACTACATAGTAGTTTCTAATCCTCAGAATTAAAATAAAACAGATATTAACATAATGTGCTTTGGAGTTAGAGTACAGGGTCGCCTTGTATTTTCTGTGGGGAAATGATATAATCTCTGTGGGCCTCAGAGTCCTCAACTGTAGAATGGAGATAATCATAATCCAACTCTCAGAGTGTGGTTGAGGGTTAATAATGATGTGCATAAAGTACTTAGCATGGAGCCTGACACCCAGTAGGCCTTCAGTGATATATGTTGGCTCGACTACTTTTAAAAAACCTTACTGGCAGGGCGCCTGGGTGGCTCAGTGAGTTAAAGCCTCTGCCTTTGGCTCAGGTCATGATCCCAGGGTCCTGGGATCAAGCCCCGCATCGTGCTCACTGCTCATCAGGGAGCCTGCTTCTTCCTCTCTCTCTGCCTACCTCTCCGCCTACTTGTGATCTCTGTCAAATAAATAAAATAAAAATCCTTAAAAAAAAACTTATTGGGTTTTAAGAAAAAAATCTTCAAAGATTTTTTTTTAAATTTTATTTACTTATTTGACACAGAGAGAAATCACAAGTATGCAGAGGCAGGCAGAGAGAAGGGGAAGCAGGCTCCCCGCTGAGCAGAGAGTCCGATGCGGGACTCGATCCCAGGATACTGAGATTGTGGCCTGAGCTGAAGGCAGAGGCCCAACCCACTGAGCCACCCAGGCGCCCCTTCAAAGATTTTATAAATATATTCCTGACCTTATGGCAGTATTTGAAGGAACAAAGAGGTTAATGATAGAGGGGCTTAGGTCTCTAAAAATTAGGTGGCTATTTAGAATGGGGAGTTCTGTTCATGTTATAGTTTGATATGAGCAGCATTTCATCTTTCTGTTTCCCTTCTCTGTGGCAGACTGATTTCCGATTCTACTGGATGCATTCAAAGCTACCAGAAGAAGGACTGGGAGAGAAAACCAAGCTCAATCCTGTATGGCCTGGTGTTAGGACTGTAGGATTCTTTAGGGGGATTGGTTTGGATTGTTCTCTTATCTAAATATAATCATTATGAATGAAATTATCTTATTGTTGAGGTAGCATGGCACAATGGGAAGGATGTGGGCTTACCAGCCTTCCACATCTGAACCAGTTTTGGCTTTAACAATTACTAGCTAAAGTTGATAATCTCATTTGGCCTTAGTTTCTCCATCTGTGTAATAGGGTTAATAACACCCACTTTACAGGGTTGTTCTAAGAACCAAGGGATATGAAGTGTGCATGTTCTCCTAACATGATGCTTATGGTAGTCACTCAATAAATAGGGGTTGATATAAAATGCTAGTAACTGCTTTTATTAATAATGCTCTTTAGAGCTCTAGTACAGTGGTTCTCAAACTGTAGCATGTGTCAGCACTATCTGGAGGCCGGGTAAACATAGATGCCTAGGTGTCCCCTCCGGAGTTTCTGATTCAGTAGGTCAGGGTGAGCCTGAGGATTTGCATTTCTAACACTGGGGAGTGCTGCTGGTGCTGCTAGTCCACCGACCACACTTTGAGAACTTCTGTTCTTGTATCTGAGCTGAGAGTGACCTCATCTAGTCAGCTGCCTCATTTGACAGATGAGGATGTAAGCTCAGAGAGGGGACTGCCTTCCCCAAGGTCCCACAGCCCAGGATGCCAGCCCCTGTATCTTTGCTACCCACTGAGCAATTAAATATGCGACAGCTACGTTCAGGGCATTTTATTAGCAAAGCCCTGTAGATTGGCATTTGCTTGGATTGTTTACAACACTTTTAAAGGCATTTGGATAACCAATTACAGGACAGGTCAGCATCAGTATTGTTACCAGGAAGGTCCTGGAAGAACATGTATTGAGGAAGGGGAACATGGGAGCAGCTGTGTCTGAAATGTTCTAAGAACTCTGCATGTATTATCCCACTGAGCCTGTGCAACGATCCTATGAGGGAGATACTTTTATTATCCTATTTTATAGATGGGAAGGCAGAGACATATACAGATGAAATGATGCAAAGTTGGGAGTGAAACCCAACCAATCTGACTTTAGAGTTTTAGTCCTAATCACTTTGTTACACTGTTTGTTCAGGCTAAAAATCCATGCTGATATGAAAGGAGCTGCAGTAGCCCTTCTTAGGACTGTCATATGGCTTTGAGAATAACATACAGTCCCTAAATCTAGCACAGGACAGTGGTTCTCCGTCCTGGCTGTGTGTCAGAATCAACTGGATAGCTTTAAAGAAAAAAAAGAAAGAAAGAAAGAAAAAATGCCTGGGACTCATCCCAGGCCAATTCAGTCAGAATCTTGGGGTGGGGCCTGGACTTGAGTGATTTTTAAGAGTTCCCTTGGTGATTCTTGTGGCTGAAGCAAGGTTGAGAATTAACAACCCAGTAATTCAGAGGGTGGGGGTGGATAGGGAAAGATGAGACTGAACTTTTCTTCTTTAATACAGTTTCACTTGCTGGAACCAATATTATTTGTAACATGTACTAATTCTTTGCTCTAATTTATTTTAGTTTAAATTTGTCGGACTAAAGAATTTCCCTTGTACTCCGGAGAGCCTGTGTAAGGTGCTGTCTATGGATTTCCCTTTTGAGGTAACCACCGTTGTCCTTACTGCTCTGATGTGACTGCAGGACGCAGGGAAGCTTGGTCACGTAGACTCTTCGGATATCCTCTGACTTTGCTGTGTCAAAGCATCAGAGAAGGGCTGGAAGCTGATTCCTGGGGAAGATGTGCCACTGCCCTTCAGAGCCTCAGCTCTGCCCGACTAGATAAGTCAGAATGCCAGGGCTGGAAGGGCCCTGGGAGGACAACTCATCTACACCCTTCATTGTACAGATGGAAAGGTGGGGGCACAGGGCGGGGCAAGGCTTCCATTCCTAGGTCCTTCTTAGGTACCTGTTTTCTGCTATGAGCCTGAGAGCCAGGTCGCTTGTTTGACTGCCATAGCTGTGGGTAAAGTTGGGGGCTTCTGTGACTGACAGACCAAGGGGGCATGAACTCTTATCCTCCCTCCCAAGACAGATGGTCCCTGGGGGTGGTGGTGCTTGCTGAGCAGTGGCTGAGAGCAGGGTGACCAGCCTGTCCAGTTTGTCCAGAACTTCCCCAGTTTAGCACTGGTCTCACATCCCTAGAATCTCCTCAGTCCTGAGCAGTCTTTTGTCATCCTTAGAACCTGCAGTTACCGTCTCCAGGCTCAGCACAAAAACTTTCCTTTGCCCCTCACACCCTTTAAAATTCTGCCTAGTCACCCACAAGAAATTGCTTGAGCCCAATATTGTTTTGCTTTTTCAGTGGGTTAATCCTATGCCTTAGGCTCAGGTCATGGTCTCAGGATCCTGGGTTGAGCCCCATATCGGGCTCTCTGCTCAGCAGGGAGCATGCTTCCTCCTCTCTCTCTGCCTGCCTCTCTGCCTACTTCTGATCTCTCTCTCTGCCAAACAAATAAATAAAATCTTAAAAAAAAGAAAAAAAGGATCACAGCTTCCCAAATGAGGAAATGGCAAAGGCCAAGTTGCCTTCAATTCTGGGAGTCAATTAAGAAGGTGGTAAGAACACCATCTTTATTTATAATCCGTATGCCCCAGTGACAATAAATGCTTTTTAGAGATGAGTCACTGAATCGTGGAAAAGAAAATGTGGGACTGTAGGAGGTCTTCCCGTTGAGAAAAACTGAGTTTCCCAGAACATAGCTCGCAGACAATTTAGGGGGAGGTGTGGCAACCAACAACGGCATGGGGAACAGAGCTTCCTGACAGCCTGTTTCCCCTGTGCTCAGCAGTCCAGCGTCTTGGAGGGGCCTGTCCAGTTCCCCTGCTTTGTTCCCTGTGTGGAATACATTCCCCATTACAGAGATGTCTGAGTGGTGAAAAATGCATGGATCTGGGGACAGGAGACCCGGGCTCAAGTTGAATTTCAGCTTCATACTGTGTTTTTATTTTTATTTATTTTTACTTATTTTTTAAATTAAAAAAAAAAAAATTTTTAAGGATTTTTATTTGTTTACTTGAGAAAGAAAGTGAGCAAGAGAGAGAAAGAGAGCACAAGCCAGGGAAGGGGCAGAGGGAGAGGGAGAAGCAGACTACCCACCAAGTAGGGAGCCCAATATAAGGCTCCATCCCAGGACCCTGGGACTGTGACCTGAGCCGAAGGTGCCCCTGTTTTATTTTCTTTTTAAGATTTATTTATTTTAGAGAGATTGAGAGCCCAAGTGGGAAGGGAGGGAAAGGAAGAGAGAATCTCAAGCTGACACCGTACTGAGCGTGGAGCCCCATGCGGGGCTCAATCTCACAACTCTGAGATCACCACCTGAGCTGAAACCAAGAGTCAGGCACTCAACTGACTCTGCCACCCGAGCCCCCCCATACTGTGTTTTTAGGGAGGACCCCAGAACTAGCCCTAGCCTCTTTTCTTAAACACCCTCAATGGTGGGCAGGAGGATAAAGTAGCAAGCAGCCTGTAAACAAGAAGGTGCTATGTATGTTTTTATTTTCTAAAATTTAATTTTCTAGGCCATTTTTTCATCTAGAGAAATCGTGCACAGGTGAGAAACAAGGATTCTTCTCCCTCTGGCAGTGATCCAGAAAAGGGAGTTGGCCCGCTAGAGCTGCCCCTGTGTGCCTAGGCTCTCCTGGAAACAGGGGGGCCCAGAAGTCATTTTGGTCACTCGCTTCCCCTTTTTGTAGGTAGATGGACTCCTCTTCTACCACAAGCAGACCCACTATAGCCCTGGAAGCACTCCTCTGGTGGGCTGGCTGCGCCCCTACATGGTGTCAGATGTTCTTGGCATAGCCATGCCAGCCGGCCCGCTGACCACCAAGCCGGAATACGCCGGGCTCCAGCTCCAGCAGATTATTGAGCATAAGAGAAGCCAGGAAGGCATGAAGGAGAATGTTGCACACAAGGCATCCGAGAACGGGCGCTATGAGTTGGAACACCTGTCCACCCCCAAGCCGAAGAGTCCTTCCGGTAGCCTGGACCCCGCAGAGAGCCTCATGGAGAACTAAACAGCGTGGCTCCTTGTGGAATCACAGGATGGTGCTTCGTCCCAAAAAGAAGGCTGGGGAGGAAGATAGTGACAACATCAGGTTATTTCATTTTAGAGTGGACTTTCCAAAGCCACTCCAGCTGGATATAGCTTATCTCCTATCAGAAATGCTGGCTCAGACCACTGAATGAGGTTCCCAGATTGGGTGGTCTTTGGATTTGAGCAGTAATTCCTGTAAAAAGTATATCCCAGATATTCACAGTGTAAATATAGGTAATTCTTACGAAAGAAGTTGTTTGTGGTTCTTAAACTTTAGCTGGTCATGACCCTCCCCAACCTTGACCCTCCCTCCCCTCCTCCGCCCCTGCCCCGCCCCAGGTACCTAAACCATGACTGTTCAAGTCTTGGCCCATTTCACTGTTTTTAGCACTTAAGCATTCTGCTGAGTTTCCAGTTGCTGCTGTTACTAACGTCATTTTCTAAAAGGTCTTACCAGGAACTGCAGTTCTTGGTATTTGAATATGTTCCCTCTTCTGAGAAGTGTGATTTTCTTTGGTTTAGACAATGCCAGAGATAAAATGCAAATGGAGTTCATTCACAACTTCAACAAACATTGCTGCCTTCCAGAAGATAAGCCTTGTGCTGGGCCAGCAGCGATGTAGATAAAGGGGGTTGTGGAGATAGATAGGAGTCAGACTCTGCCCTTGAGGATTAACAGTCCAGTGGAGGGAAAAAACCCACCAGCAGGGAGGTGAGAAGATCGCTTTAGGGCTGAAAGATGCAGAGAGCCTGGGGCAGGATAGCAGAGGGCAGTAGCTCCAACCATAGAGAAGATTGGAGTTAGACTGAGGCTCAGGGCTGGATTGAAAGTGCTCCAGGGACAAGGAGAACAGGAGAGCAGGAGTTTCTCACAGAGGCTGGAGGGTATGCAGCTGCTCCCTCTGGAGCAGGCCAGACTCGCTCTGGGACCCGAAACAGGTTCAGCATGGCTCAGGCTTAAATGAAGGCTGGGGAGCTGCCCAGGAGGAGGCTGGAGAGAGAGAGGTAGGCCTGGGTATCAGGTTTTGGATTTTATGCCATGGAAGAACTTTGAGCAGGCCAGATCCATTCAGATTTGTAAACTAGGGTTCTTTGGCAGCAGTGGCAGTGGAAGATAGCGTCTAAAACCAACCAATTCGTTTCTGGTCTGTCTTCAGGAAATGTGTCCCATTTCCCGTGACCTCAATCTGCAGCTCACACTGCTTTCCACCTTTCTAGGATTTCTTTTATTGGACAAAAAGAGTTCGCTATTTCACTCCAGCAATACTAGCTGGTGTCCTGTGGACAAAATATTGGAGGCATGCAGGTCAGATCTTTGTTTGACTGGCAGTTGGTTCCTTTGTGTTAATTCTGGGAACAGATCTGGGCAGAAGTTGTGGTTAAGTGGAGCCCGATGACACAAATGCAGCACACCAGTGGAACTAGCCTCAACGCTGGGCTCTTACAAAGCTGCTTGAGCTGATTCTATAAAAATCAGAGAAGGAAGACAACCCTTCCCACCCCCATAATGATCCTGCTGGCTGCAGACTGAGGCTTGCCTACACCAATACGCTCTTTTCTGAATTCGGGTCAATTCTGCAATGGGAGCATTGTATTCCTGTTGCCAAGAAGCATGCTGTCAGCTGCCTAGATGCTGCATGATCTCCCCAAGGAGAATGCACTGGTCTGTGCTCTCAGCAAGCCAACTGCATCATTTCAGGAGTTGGACATGCTAGCTAGTATCATTAGAGACTTGGCTGGGCTCTGCTCAGAAATAAGCCAGTCTGGAGAGACTACTTCCACAAAAGGACACTCTTGGGAGAGAGATGCAGGAGCCATAGAACATACCAGGCAAACTTACTGCCAAGCACATCTTGATATTGTTCAACGATAGCTTGAAGGATGTATTTCAGAGGAGTGCCCCTTCTATTTTTAATGGAGGAGCCAATATGATCAATCACTGAATGGCGTGTCTTCTGGTCGTATTTCTTGTGAATTGTAAAACCACCTCCTGCCACCTCTTTCAAAGATGGCTACATCAATAAGTTGTTGTGATTCGGTATTAGCTTTCTGGCCACCCTTCCGAATAGTGACCAATTTCTTTTTTGTGGAATGATCTCTTCCCCATGCAGTGTGTGTGGTCTGGTGGAGCTGTCATCTGGGGGAACTGCCCTCCTTCAGCCAAACATCAGGCTCATGACTCAAGATGGACCAGTCACACACTCCTCACCAAGAATCTGTATCCTGAGCAGAGGAACAAAGAAAGTGAATCTGCTGGAATTCATTTTATTTTGCCCTTGGAAGGGTAGAGAGTGTTGCTTGTTCTTGCTGTTAAACCAATGAGCACCCAGTAAATTCTATCTTGCTTAAATTAGCCAGAACTGATTTCTGGGCTTGCAACTGAAGGATCCTAGCTGATACCATCGCTTGTGGCCTACCCCACTTGCCTTGGCTAGAGGGCCAGCTTGGCATGAGTTAGCTAAGGACTACTAGTTGAGATCACCTATGTCATCTCAAGTGCCATTGGAACAGCAGCACCTGGAAAAGACTAGACTTTTCAACCAGTTGCTGCAAAGTAAGCAGTCTTAGTGGTTTTACTGTTGACTCAGAAAGCCAAGCTGGGTTCTAATGCCTGCATCAAAGAGATGGTGTCATCCTAATTCCCCTGTGTTTGATAATAGTTTGTCTATAATCACTGCTTTTTCACTAGTTCACTTCACACTCGTGTCAGAAATCTGACTTCTGTTCCTACCACTTTTGAGTGCTCTCATCAAGGGACTGCTGGTCTCCTCTTTTCCAAATATAAGGGACATTTCCCAGCCTTTCTCTTTTCTGACTTCAACTGTGTATTTGCTGATGCCTTCCATGAACTCTAGCCCTATCTATATATCTAACTCCTTACCAGCCAGTCTCCCAGTCACCTCTCAAACTTGGCATGTCCCAAACTGAACTCAACTCTCCCCCACAGTCCCTCTCAGTCGTGTTCTCTTCCTGGGATCCTTGTCGTTGTTAGTAGCATTTAGTCACCCCAGCTAGGAACCTAGGTATTCTGATGATTCCTGTCCATTTCTTACCTTTCACAGCTAGTGAGTCACCATATCCTTTAAACTCCACCTCTCTCTTCTCCATTTCCTCTATGACCTAAGGCCTTAATTCAAGTCTTTCTCATCCTGGAGTACTGCCAGAGTTTCTTACCTAGTTTCCTGCCACCAATCCTCCCCATCCACCCTATCCACTCCTGCCACAACTGGCAGAGTGATTCTTTCTAAAAATGCATTGCTTCAAGGATTTCCCATTGCCTACAGGCTTCTCAGCCTGCCATGCAAGTTTCTTCATGACCTGGGCTTAGCATATCTGTCCAGCCTCATAAATTACCTTCCTTCCTTTGCTGCCTCCTCTCCAAGGATCTGCTCTACAGTTCCTTATACAAACACATGTGTTTCATGTTACATCCTTCTAACCCACCACCATGTCCCTCCTTACTCGGACTTCATTCATCTGGTAAATATATCTACACATCTTTGGAAAACTCCAGTCAGCAGATACCTGGTTGAACCTTTACCTCTGCAGGTAGAATTAGCCATTCTCATGTTTGTGCCCTCCCCATCCCACTGCATATATCTCTCTCCCAAGTTTAGGGATAGTCCCCGAGACCATACTTCAGTTTGATAATTCTCCAGAAGAACTCACAGAACTCACTGAAAGCTGTTATACTTAGGGATAGAGTCTGTCACGGTGATAGGAAACAGATTAGTTAGCCTAGGGCAGAAATGCACAGGGCCAAACGTGGATCTTCCAGGTATCTTCTCAGTTCCAAATGTGGATCTTCCAGGTATCTTCTCCCAGTGGAATCATGGATAGCATTTATGTCTCTGGGACCTGTGTATGATAGTCCTCAGGGAGTATAGTCAACCAGAGAATTTCACCTGAGCCTTGGTGTCCCAAGTTTTTATTGGAGATTTTTCATTTGGACCTAGTTGGTGGACCTCAGTCTCCAGCCTCTCCAGAGGTATAACTGATTACACATGATCAAAAGTCCTCCTTTCCCCTACTCACTAGACTAGATTATCTGGTATGGCCAAAGACCCCCAGGCCAACACAGAAACTTTCTCAGGACATTTCAAAGACTTGGAGCTTATTTCCTAGGAGTCGAAGACGGCAAAGGGCAACTTCTCTTTGGCAACATTAAATTCCTTACTTCACACTCCCTCTATTAGATTGCAAGCTCCTTTTTTTTCCCCAAAGATTTTTATTTATTTATTTGACAGAGACAGAGTGTACGTGCACAAGAAGGCTGAGTAGCAGGCAGAGGGAAAGGGAGAAACACGCTCCCCTCTGAGCAGAAAGCTCAACTTGGAGCTCTATCCCAAGACCCAGGAACATGACCTGAGCCAAAGGCAGACACCTAACCGACTGAGCCACCCAGGCACCCCTAGATTGCAAAATCTTTCAGGTCAGAAACCTGGTCTTACTCATCTTTAGCGCCCCAGTGCCTGGCCTGGATTAAAATGTCAGCTGGGTGAATGAAATGGTGAGCTGGAATGAGAAGGCAGTTTGAGGGACAGTCCCTTTTCTCTACTGCACAGAGGAATGACCTTGGAGAGGTCACTGGAGTGGCCCTGGAGAGGAGGCTGAGTGGAAGTGTGTGGTGGGCGGCTAACGGATGGTTGGATATGCTGCAAGTTCTAAGAACAAGAACTGTATTTAGTTCTCTGAATGTGCTTAAAAGGACAACTTAAAAACTTCTCATACACTGGAGGAGGGAAAGAAATGATCTTCATAGCTACAGATTTCCTCTCTAGTAAGGAAGTGAGCAAAAACCTCACAATACATATTTTTAAGCAGATGTGGTCATTTGTCTTATGCATTGTGATATGTAGGGCAAGAAAAGTAGACAAAAGCCCTGAGATCTTGGCAAGAGTATGACTGCTTGTTTTGGTAAGATGCACTGATTTCTGAGTTCTGCCCGGTCTTAGGATTCTGTGATTACACCCAAATTTATTTTTTTAAAGATTTTATTTATTTATTTTAGAGAGTGCATATACATCCAGCGGGGGAAGGGCAGAGGGAGAGGGAGAAAGTGTCTTAAGCTGACCGTGCATTGAGCACGGAGCCCGTTACAGGGCTAAATATCACGACCTCGAGATCACAACCTGAGCTGAAACCAAGAGTCTGACGCTTAACCGACTATGCCACCCAGGCACCCCAGAACCAAGTTAATTTTTTTCTTTTTTTAATTAATTATTTTTATTAATATATAATGTATTATT